AGCATAGCTGAGCGCAGGTAAGCGCAGGTAAGCGTAGGTATGTGTGGGTAGCTAGCCTCACCTACACAGACCCAAGGGCATCCATTTTACAGCTGAATCCTTCCCATCCTTCTCTCGCCCCGAGTCACGCAAAATAATTATACCCCTTGCACCCCATCTAGCTTCATCTTCGGACACAAGAATGAATGATGGTCAAATTGAGAGGCTTTTTGCCGCGCTGCAACAGCGGAGTGGCGGGAGGTTCATATATCACGGTTCCGGCCGTTCTGGCACCGACGAACAGGTCAAACAATTGCTCGACAATGAGAAATGTTCAAGAAATTGTCACAGGAAGAAATAAGATACAGTCCCACACCTCCAAAGATGGAAGTTGTTGTCGTCAGTCGATAGTCTTGAGCTAGACTCACTCGGCGTAGCTTAGCGTAGGCCACTAGACATACCTAAGCCAAGCTACGCTCAGCTAGACTGACCTAAGCATGGCTAAGCAGAGCTAGCCAGACCCGCACTTGGCTACACAGACCCTGTGTAGCTCCGCTAGACTCAGCCATCTGCGTAGCTGTGCGTAGATATTCTACGCTCACCCTGAGCGTAGGTGGCGTCGGAACGCAGTGCATATCTGTGTATGCGCGAGCTAGGATTTGCACGTAAGGCAATCCTGGCGTGCGCTTCTTGACCTCATATTTGGCGTCAAAGTACAGGGGAAAGAGCCTCGTTCCGCGTGAATCCATAGGAGGGCCGAGAGAGGAGGGACTCGAGCGCCGTGAATATTCCCGATTCGTGATCCTAGCTTAGTAAGTAAGGGTTTGAACGGTGGTTTTCGCGACCAACTCACGATCAGGGTTCCAAAAACATCGAAATATATCACTTGGAGGGAGTAGGGCTGAAAGATCGGAGGCGGAGAAACGGAAGCCCTCGCAACTCGGTGCAACCAGCGGTCTCCCCACTCGTACCACTCGTCGTCGTCGTCTTCCTCTTGTGCTGTCCAGACAGGAACCTCTGATTTTGAGGGTGTGCGTGGTCTTTCGAAAGCAACGCAAAGATCGAAGAGAGCACCATTCTGGAACTCCGTAGCAAGCCCTTCTGGGACAGCCAGAGCGTTTGGGCCTGAGCAAGACACCTATCTTGGGTCAGCGAGTGTCAAAGGTCGCGAGAGGATGCACGCGTAGGAGGTCCTGAGTCCAAAGTATCGTTCTTTCCGTCTCGGGGCGGGAAAACCGGGCGCGCAATCGGTGACAGGGATGAGAATCAATTGCTACAGGAGAAATAAGAGCGCCCACATCTTAATCTGTCAGACTTCGTCCATGCATTGGCTTGATGGCAAGATTTGTCTCAGTGATTCGATATCGTAGCGTATCTGTCCAGAGATGGATGTCGGTGGGAAAATATGAGCGGGATGTACGTTGGTGATGGTGCTTTTGCGACTGAAGCTAGTCCACTGGTCATCATGTCTGACCCCTGCGGCCTCTCGTTCAGCCGACTGCTTAGCTATGTCTCGCTTCACTTGTTCGTTGGTGTCGATGTGGACAATGGCGTTAAATAAACGACATGAAGCATCAGATAGCCACCGCCGACGGCCGTTGGATGAAGCGACGGCGGCTTTGAAGATAAATCTGCCAGCGCGAGTTGCATCGACAATGCAATCACAGAACGGCCATTTGAAGTCGGGGACCAGTGGCTTGCGTGATCCCAATACACAAAGGGAAGATAGGGAGATACGTGGTGGGTAAGGGATAGTGGGAGGGCTGCACTAGATACGCCAGTGTACTATCTTCGCACTCCTGAGCCTCGCTATCGGGCTCGACCTCGACCAGCGCGAGATATTGGCCACCTTTCAGCTCAGCAGCAGCCGAGGTCGCCAAAGCGGACTTGAGGTACGCAACAGATTCTTGCGCGGAGGGGTTACTATTGCCCAGAAGTATCCACCGTAGTGCTGGCCATAATATGATATGAATACGAAAATCGGGTATCGTATTCATATTCATATCGTATTCACCTTGCTGACCCCGTATCGTATCCGTATCCGAGCATATTCATATTTATTCATATCCAGGCCGGTGAATATGAATACGATATGAATATATTCAAATATGCTGCATGTTTTTTTGAACCCTCTGAAAGTGCAGGTAATGCAAACCCCAATGAGAAGGATATCTCCTTAGCAGTACTTAGAGACTGTATCCTCGCAGACAATGTGTTCTGAGGTCGAAAGGAGGCGATGTTGATGTTGTGGCGCGTTGGGGCTGTTCTATGCCGAGATGCCGAAGACGGGCGACTCCGTGATTGTCAGCGGCATGCTATTCCGGTAAACAGCTTCTCCCCCCGGGCCGCGGAGGATCATTGCTTGGGGTGCCGAATGGGTGATTGGTGATGGCTGAGCCTCGATGACCGTATTCAAATATATTTGGATACGCTGAGCGTGTATCGTATCGTATCCATATCATATCCGTATTCATATCCACCTGTATTCATATTCAGTCGGAGGCTCTGAGCCCGTATCGTATTCAGTCGTATTTGGATATATCCAAGGTTAAATCTGGCGTATCATATTTTTGGCCAGCACTAATCCACCGGACTCGTCCGGCGAGTCAGTGTATGGGAGTCCATTTGGGAACTCGAAATACCGGCACACCGGGACACCGGCGGTGTAGTGGCGGTGTAGATCGAGAAGTGATCGGGAAGATGCCGTGCTCAAACGAACGTCGGCACCACATCAGTTATATGACGTACACCACCGTTTGGCCGTTGAGGGTTGATTCGAGCTAATCCGGCCGGTGTGGGGTTGCCCTTGAATAGACGTGGATTTGGGCAAGTTTCGACGTCTTGTGCAGGTTCGATCAAGAACATCTACTTACCCCGAAATCTACGTCAGAAAATGGTCTAATCGAATTGGGTGGCTCCGGCATGATGCCGACACTGATCGTGGCTGGATTTGACGTCGGATCGAGGTGATTTCTCTCCACCTCAAATCGACATCGGAACAGGCCCTTGTCCAAGGTCTTCGTCCACATGGCAGAGCAACTGGCCAGGGCACAGGGCTTTTTCCATCAAATTTGCACAAGTCCGTTTCCCTGTGCTGTCATCCGATCTTCCTTTCTCCCCTCATGTCCGCGCTCGTCCCCCACGGCCTACCTTCAAACTGCCTTCCCTCATGGAGCTGTTGGCCCACATCCCACTTTCTATAGGCCTCCTGCTTGTACTCTCCAGTCCCCCTCTTATCTGAAGAGCCCGGTGTGAGGTGTCGTGTTGTGGGTACTTTTTTTTTTCACGCTCGCTATCATAGACTCACTCTTTAAAGTCGCACCTGACTTATACGCTCACGTACTGTACAGTCGTATCGTAGTGTATAGTAACCATGAATATACTGCCCCTTTCCCCTACCAAATCAATTGCCGGGCCCCCAAGAAGAAAAAAAACCCCGGCGAGGCGCGCATAGCCAGGCATAGCCTCCGACGTGGATTCGAGGTGGGATCAGTCCGACCTCAAAACAACGTCGGCCGGATTACATTGATCAGACGTCGGATGATTGCCGGAGAGACGTAGGCGGTTCCCAGGTCGCTGCCAGGTCGCTGACCAAACGGTGGTGTAGCCTAAACTGTACAGCTCACCCACAGCGAGCGCAAGAATGGATATGGACTAAAGAGGGAAAGTAATGACCATGTTACTTGCCGTGTTGTGAATCGACTTTTCTTGGCTCCTACAGGGATAAGTAGAACCTTAGGTGGTCTTGATTTTGCACCCACATGACAAGGACAAAGGGTGAAAAGATATGAAGCATCGGACTGCTACCCCTATGTAATTGGGACAACAGACGCGACGCGACGTGTTTGTTTGGTACTCAATGGCATCACGCGGATCATTCCGAATTCGGGTGCCGAGCCTGCCGCCGGTGTGCACAGCCGCTGGTGCGCCGGTGTTTCGAACTCCCAAATTCTCTGGTGTATGGAGCGGGTTTTGCCAGGAATGCAGGAAGCAAAGGGCCGCGGTAGTGATGCGATCATCTCGTACAGCCTCCGGCAGCCCCGGCATGATTCAAAACCACCATTGATTGCGAGGATTCGTACGCCTAAGGTTCCGGTGCTTCAGGGCGGTGTCCCAGCCGATCATGTGTTCATCCAAACATTCTCATTTCCGTCAAACAGGGCTGGGGAAGCAACGACCAGTTGACCTCAGCAAAGACCCCTTTTTGTGTCAACGGGAGTCGGACCCCGGACTGCGATATTCCGCTAGGATGTACTGTGGGGACGCTGCTTCCGGTGTTCCGCACTCCACGCCCGAACATTTGGCCTGTTCATTCCTTCGCAAACAGATGAAAAAGAGTGAAAGCTTCAACCAGGTTTCTCTTTTTCTCTTGTTGAATTTTGCACCGAACAAGGCGCCAAACCCAAATTCCTCGACGTTGAGTACGATGCGAATCGGGCGAAAAGAAAAGACAGTCACACCGCCTCTGCCGCATTCAGGCGCAGGGAGTCGAACCCCGATCTGCCGGCTACGCACGTAGATTACTAGAGACCGCGTTCCGTATCTCATTACCTTGCCTGTTCAGTCCTCGGTGAAGTCGATCAGTCCAAATCAGGTTATCACATCGTAATCGACTTATCAACGCCTTGCACCTGAACACCTTGAAGCAAAAGAGGCATTCCCATTCGACTGTGAAACTTAGCGTGATTGATTCGAGGTTGTTCGTAGGTTTCGATAACTAGTTGAATCAACTTGAATGGGGAAAAAAAACCGGGGCCAACTGATGGATCGGGCGCAGGGAGTTGAACCCCGGATTGCGAGATACCGTAATGTATGTTACCTGAGTTCGGTCCAAATACAGCTCGCTGAGTTCCATTCACTACAACCGATGCTTACCTCCGTGAGCTTCCCTGAAGGAGGGCAGGTAAAAAGCGGCCAGACGGTTGAACGGGGCTTTTTGGCATCCAGATTCGAGTGCGAGCTTGAAGGCTTCGCACCGCTTCTGAGTATGAAAGCACAAAAAACGCAACACAGATAGGAAACTCGGACGCGGGGAGTCGAACCCCGGCCGCGGACTGCCGGCTACTTACAGAGTGCACATACATGTACCAGAAAAGCCGGCGGTGTGCCGTACACCACGCCCGATTATCCTACCCCTTGAATGTTGGGTGAAGTCGGTCAGGAAAATCAGGTGTGTAGCGGACAGATCAAAACTTTGCACCTTGACACCTTGAAGCAAAAGATTCGGATTTGGTGGCGAAACTTGGAAGACATTGATTCACCGAGGTGCGTCGTGAGATTGAATAAATTAGTTGAATCAACTTGGATGGGGAAAGAAAAACAGCGGCGCAGTCAGTCGGACTTTTGTGTCCTCGCCGTGTACTTACCTCCCTCGGCGAACTTCCGCGTGAAGGTGGACGTGTAAAAAGCGGCCAGACCGTTGAACGGGGCTTTTTTGTGTCATCCAGATTCGAATTTGAAGCTTGAAGGCTTCCTACCTGGATCGAGAGCTTAATGAACGACAGAGAAAGCTCAAAAAAAGTCACAGAAACGGCATATTCGGACGCGGGGAGTCGAATCCGGGGCTGCGAGATAGTATTCGACGCAGCCAGACGCGCTCGCGGTGTGCCGTACGCCATGCCCAAATCTTTGGCCTGTTCTTCCCTACGTGAAAGCGCGTGAGCGTCAAATGAAAACAGTGTGGCAGTCCGAGTCGGGAGATTTGGTGGAGATCGGACGCGATTCTACGCGATTTCCTCCGCGTAGATATCTGAGTATGGGCAGCTCCAGACGGGATGCCTGTGGGAAAAAGTTTGGCGTCGGGAGGTCGAACGGGCAGAGACCAAGGGGCCGGGACGACAGAGGCAGAGTCCGGATCAATGCCGTCATTCCGATTACGCATCACGGCATCTGACAGCTCTCTTTTCTTCGACCACTGCGTTCCTTTTATAGGCGGATTCGCGCGTGGGAGGAGCATAGGAGGGCCGAGGAGGGCCGAGCACGGTCAAGGACGATGTGAAGCAAAGGGCCAACGCAGACTTAGACAGATGGCACGCACCAGGCACTGGCAAGGCAGCCCTCCGACGACGACGACGACGACGACACCCAGCTTGGCGACGACGAAGGTCGACTACACGCACCGCGGTAGCACGTGGAGTCTACACATCGATTTTGATCGATTCTGTTCCTTACGCGTTTTCTGCAATTCTAAGATCCAGATTCCAGATCCACCTCACCAGGCTTACCCAGTAGTAGATCCGAAAAGATGCGATTCATAGTCCCTTGAATCACGCTTGACTTCCAACGGCACTCCCGTCCTCCATTGGCGCCATGGATTCCAGCTCGAATACCCTGTGATGGCTGACGAACTCAATTATTGGTACGTCGTATATGTACATCATCATGCGATTGGCTGATTTAAAATCCCAGTCTCGATGCCCGATAGTCCCCAGTACAGATTCCCTATTGCGGCTAGACCACTTTATTCGCCTCCTGACTTGCTTTTCCCAGGTCATGCCGCATATTACCTGCGTGAGGTTCTGAGTTTGGCCCCTTCATCATGTCAGGGTCGCGCACCTTCTACTTGCCGTGCTCGGTCGCCTGTTACAGCACCAACAACAGCATCTATCTTGCCCTGTGCCCGGTCCACGGTCCCCTGCACGAACGCCTGGGCCTCGGCAGCCTGGATCTCTGCTTCGCCCGCCATGTGCTCGTCGCGCCCCGATTTTTGCCACGACGTCGCGCCAAACAGGTGTCCAATCTGCACTCGGCGAATGCATTAGTCCCCTTCTATCAGACTTTGTCTAACCACGCACCATCTCGACCAGTGTCCCTTTCACTGAGTGGTACTGCCCTGCAGCCTTGCTGTGAGATGTGGCGGTCAGCTGCGAATCTGCTGAGCATCGACTTTGTAAGTACCTGGGCTGTGGTGCAGTTGTCCCCGTTGCGTTGTTTTGGAGTTCGTTCGTTGACATCTTTCCCCTTAAGATTCTTGGAGGCGTCGAGCTTTTTTGCGCGATATTTATCGCTCAATCGCCCCTACGTCATAAAATGACGTAGTTCGAGCTCACGTGTGACCGTTTCACTCTTTTTTTCTTCTCATTTTTGACCAACTTTCCGCGTTGTGCATGTTGTCTTCTCCATCCCGTACACAAACCTGCTCGAAATGGCCAATCGACCCAGAATATGCCACGTAATATTGGGGTTGGTTTGGGAATATGATTTTCCTGCCGAACGCTCTGTTCAAACTGTACCCCCCCTGCTGCCGGGATGGTCTATCTGAGATGCCTGTGAGCTTTCCCGTAACTCTACCTACCTACCACCGTGTGCCCCTTGGGAGTTCCGTGGCCTCGTGATTTCTCCGCAGGCCGGTGTCAATATTGCACAGGTTGAACTCTTGCACGTATGTGTTCGGTGGCCTCCTCTCGTCCAGATCGTTCGCTAAACTGCAGCAGCTCTCGCACGACTCTCTCATTCACGAACATGCCGCGGGTCGCATACCGTATACCGCTCAGCTGCTTAATTTGGCCCTTTATCGGATGATCAACACGTCGCTATTCGTTCACGACTTTTCTGGCATCGGACGCCCATGCAAAAACCAGCCACGAGCCTCGTGCATTCTTCCACTCAGATGGTGTCAATCTTTTGCACGGTATTCAATGTCCCCACATGGGCGTCCACAGTTACTGGTAGGAATTGCGCGGCGTGAATTATGGTCTACATTGTGGCTTTCGGTGTGTGTCTGGGTACCGTCCCGATTTAATCATTTAATCGTTGTTCCGTTTCTTCAATGTTTCCCAGCCTCAAACTTCAACCTGTGGGTAGCCCAGGGGTAGCCGCCGGGTTTGGCCGATGAACACGTCATGATCCACGTGGGTTAGAAACCTTCTCCCATGCGCCCACTCCCTGTTGACCTTGTGAACTATCTTGCTCGCAGTCAATGAGCGCGGAAATTCGTGAGACAATCTGTTCCCGTTCCTACATCGATGCTCAAGTATTGCAGCATTGTCGTTGCGTTTCCTGCCGATCAATGCTGCCCAGACTGTCCCTCTTCGCCATTCCGTCTTGTGGCCCGATATGCCTGTCTCCTATGTCCTTTTACCCGAGGATACTACCGGATGGCATTACGGTGCCTTCATCGACTCAAACCCGGATCCAGTCGCAGTTATCTCATTATTCGTTGAGGCCTGTCCCATCGATAACGAAGATGATCGTCGTACGGACGACAATGGTCCGCAGAAACGCAACTTTCGGTTCAGGAAATTCGCTTGCGACCCTGCGTATCAGGTCCTCCCTTATCTTTTTGTTCTGGTGCCCGCCCTGATTTTCGTTTCGATGCAGGGTCGAGGTATCGGCACAGAACTCTTGCTTCACGTCATTTCCATCGTCGGTACTGAGCAACATGGAAATTTGCTTTGGTGCGACGCCCGCCAGGCAACCCAGGCCTGGTATGAACGACGTGGAATGGAAGCTTTCGGAGACGTTTTCCTGAAAGGACCCGTGAAATACACCCGAATGAAGATTGCAATCGATGCCGTTTAGTTTCTCACCGGGCGCCTTTGCAGCTTGGAATTCATTAATATTGTGATCCATCCTCGCAGGGATAAGACGCGTGTTCGAATTGCTCCGTGAGATGCAACCCGACTTATCAACGGCCCGCGGCATGGTACGTGCTTATTTTTCTGTGATCCGGGCGCTTCCATCGAATCGTATCGATCCTTTCGACGGAGCCTTCGCGAAACCCGTCGTTCAGTGGCTCAGAGAAGTCGCCGGGCAAATTCATAGTGTCCGGTGTACAGCGCACGGTGAACTGTATACTTGCCTACACCATCATGGTTCCTATGTAATTAATGCGGGCGGAACCGCGTCTGTTCCATGGCCCTACCAGTACATGGAGATAATTCTCGGATCTGTCCGATAACCACCCATGACTGATTGTCCCCGTCCCGGGCCTGTCCTCCACGTTCCGCCCGCTATGCTACCGCGACAAAAGATATTGGCTCAACGATGTCGAATGATTGTTCCGGTTGAAACCAACAACCATTCCGCATGATTCCCCCATTTGTATGGGGCACGTATATCGCCCACGCTGATGTTCGTCCCGAAGGCTCTCAGGTCCGGCCACAACGTATATTTGGCACGTCATCTCTATCCAGGGGCCCGTATAAAAGCGACTTGGCAACGTAAGGTGGAACAAGCATTCAGCCCATCCTTCCGCCTCTTCTGTTCTCCCCTCCTCCTGGCTCTGCCATCTGTCCCCAATCCGCAGTTCACCTCCCACTCCGTCGACCAACATAGGCGGGGAGCTGTCTCGAGCGTCTCTGTCCTTGCTATTTTGCTATGAATCAGAGGCTGCACCGCGCCGCGTCTCCATTGAGTGCGACGCACCGGTCTCTGTTCATAGCCAAAATAGTAGGACAGAGCTTTCTGACACTGGTCCTTGCGCATGTTAGGGCTTCCGGATCCAATTGCGCACCCTTCATTGCTGTACCCTTGTCCGGGTACCTGGTTTGGCTTACCTCGCAATCGGGTCAACTCGAGTCACGACCTCTACCGCACAAATCTGATTTTCTTTTTTTTTCTTGGAACGAGATCCAACTCTGAATCGACCGAGGACGCCGTTGTGGGCGTCTTTGTGATTCACGTGGTCCGTAATCTCCTCGCGATTGGTCCGTTCGTACTACGCAGTTAACCTTTAACCTCAGCAAATATACCTTCTTCCGCTTCCGTCAACCAAACCGTCGCACGCAAGTCGCACGATGCATAGGACTTTGATCCGTTCGGAGTATGGTGTATTGGAGGCTGATAGTTCCTACTCGTTGTCTGTACTGGTTTAGCTGCTGCACAACCATCTCGTTGCCAGCGGGTCAGCAGCCAGCCTGGCCAGGGATTTCAGCCTGTATGTAGTGCAACGCCTGAAGACCACATTTGGACAGTGCTGAACGGCATACGCCACAGAACACAATGTGGCGTTTGCCTTGTGAGAATTTTATAGAATTCCGTATCAACCTAGTCTCCCTAAGTCAGACCAATTATGAGTTTTTTTTTTTTTAGATTTTGGAGGGTGAAAAAAAACTCATATATGGTATCAACCGCAACATGATGAAGCCACGCTCAAAAAACACGTCGACGGAGGTTGCATCGTC